GCGTATACTAAGGTCTGCATAAGGTTTTACTTACTGATAGAGTGCCTTTTAAAATAGTAGTAGCAATTTATTCAAATGACTATGATAAAGACAAAATCTTAAGGCTCAATTCGAGAAATTGTTCATTTTAATTTGTATGCAAAAACAAATTTATTTGTTACAATGTTTTTTGTAATTTGGTGAAAAAAAAATATATTTTGAAACAAAGGAGGTTCTTAGTTTGACCTGTATGTATGTATGTTTGTGAGCAATTATCTCGCAATTAGCTGAATTGATCCTAATGCGGTTTTCAAACTTTTTTGTTTTACACTTTTTTATAATTGGTGGGGCGCCGTTTGACCACTATCTCGCCTGGTGGTAAGCGATGATGCGGTCTACGATGGAGCACGTAACACTTAAGAGAAAGATTTAGTACATTACTAAACCGACTCGACTTCAAAAAAAAGGGGTGGAAGTCGATTTTTAAACGTAGTTTAGAAAAGTATTAATTTTCGTTGTTTGTACATACATAAATAAATACCCTGTTTTCTCAGTTATACTTCGATTAACGGTAATCGGTTTGCTCCTATTATTATGGGATTTGCAACATTACTGGCAAATTTCTGGGAACACATCTTGTTTATCCCTTCTGGGACTTTGGGCGTGATGTAATGTCATGAATTATATTATTTCCATTGAAGAGTAATGTTTTGTTCAAAGGGTATTGTCGAAAAATTCGTAGAAATTATAGTTTTGTGGTCTGACAAAGTATGTAGTTTGGTAACTAATGTGTTTGCTATGTCCGCATGGTCCCTGATGTTAATAATATTTAGGATTTTCTCTTATATCGTAGGTGCGTTTACAAATATGTAAGTTTACATACACAATAACGCCCAGCCCCGAAATAAACATCTGTGGATCACACAAAGAGTTGCTCCATGCGGGAATGGGACCCGATACAAGTTGCGCAGCAGCCGCTTGCCCAGCCACCGCACCAACCGTGCAGCCAATTCAATAAGTAAGTATTTAAGTATATAATATTTTTTTATTTGTTGACTGCCTCATTGGCCGAGTGGTCGCAAGTGCGACTGCCGGGCAAGAGATCTCGGGTTCGATTCCTAGGTGGGGCAAAGTATTACTAGGTTTTTAAAAATCTCAATAGTAGCACGGAGCCTGGACATGTGCCCGGTATATGGCAATAGGCTCACCCCCTATTACATGGGAGTCATAACATAAATAGTGAAAAGTGGGTGTTACTCTGTACAGTGGTATTAAGTGCCGGAATGTGCACCTCTGCCTACCCCTTCGGGGATAAAAAGGCGTGACGTTATGTTATGTTATGTTTTATTTGTTGTCCATGATATTCTGTCATTGTATTTCTAATGAAGTACTTTTGGTACTACATACATGTATTATGTACTGCAAAGTCTTGTCAGACTAAAAAAACATGTAAGTTCTGTGAAAAATTCAAGTTTGTACAAAATTTTTGGAAGATAAACAGTCTGTTTATAACATAAAGCTAATTTGTTAGAAGAACTTTATTATAAGTCACAAATAAGGTCCCTAGTTTAATAGGTCCCCAACAAAAGTTTATGTAAATATTCTTAGAAATATATTTTTTTCTCTTTTCTTACTTTCCTTACAACGGTGCTCATAATCTAAAAGATGAAAGTTCTAGCGAGTTATATTTTAAAACTAAGCACTTACAATTTTTATTTTCTTTAAGTTTTTGTTTAGACGTATTTTTTATTTATTTCTGCACGGTTGGTGCGGTGGCTGGGCAACCGGCTGCCGTGCAACGTGTCGCGGGTTCGATTCCCGCACGGGGCAACACTTTGTGTGATCCACAAATTGTTGTTTCGGGTCTGGGTGTCATTGTGTATGTGAAATTGTATGTTTGTAAACGCACCCACGACACAGGAGAAAATCCTAGTGTGAGGCAATGTTTTTTTTTTAAATTAAAATTAAAATTAAAAATTAATTTCGTAAACTTATCATCATCAACAGCCTATAAATGCCCACTGCTGGGGAAAGTCTTTTCTCACACGGAGAAGGTTTGAGCATTAATCACCACGCTTGCTCAATGCGGGTTGGCGATTTCAAACTTATAATCAGAAATTATAACACCAGGTTTCCTCACGATGTTTTTCCTTCACCGTTTGTCAGTGGTGTCTAAATAATCTTAGAAAGTACATATAACTCGGAAAAAGTCACATTGGTAATTGCCGTTGGTAGGTTTCGAACCCGCACCCTCATGCATGAGAAGCGGGTGTCTTAAACCTCCAGGCCACCACGACATAAACGTAATCGTAAACTTAGCTCGTAGTTAATTCACTAATTGGTCTTAGGGTCACTTGAATCTTCCCAACTTTATAACAGATGTTATGAAAAGGTTCGTGCAATGCGTGAAAGAAGTGTGTCAAGTGTCCTACAATTGCCCAGCCATTATAAAGATAACTATACTCCGTCTGTTTAGGTAGTTAACTATTTGTAAGCAAACCATAAAAAGAGTTCTTTATAGTTGACATTTCCATGATTCAAAATACTTCATAAGAAAATAAAATTGTTTCCCTTTTTACGACAGTTTTCTCTATTAAATGTTATGTTTCTGTTCCTTTTCACTTATTTCTTAATAAATATTAAATATATCTGCTTGAGGATATTAATTTAATAACATTTATTAAATAATATAATATTTTGATTACAATAGACACCATAAAGAGCCTAAAATCCCAGGTATCCAAAACGTTTCTTTAAGAACGAAGCAAAATAATATTGTCAAATTAAAGAGTACAACGAAGATGTAGCGCGACAATGAAAGTAGCGTGTATTACGTTTAGTCGGTTAATCAGGCGCCATTGACAGCTCTCTCGTCGTTTGCGCTCGCGTTCCTATTTTGTTGAATTTAACTTGTTTCTTTGTTTTGTTTTTGTTATTAAGTTATTTAAGTTTAGGTTATTCATCGTTTGTAATTAACTCGTCGAGTACCGGTTTTATAGACACAATTAAAGAACAATAGGTCGCGGTCACCGGTGACCGCTTGGTGTTTGACGGTTTAATGTGTTCAAATATATTGAAGAAACTTGGCCCAAAGACAGATATCCGTACAAGAAAGAAATCCGTACATCAGATTCAGAATAGTTTCTATTTAAACATGATAATGAAATAGACCCATAGGCTAGGCTCTTGTACGATTTAGGCATTTGTACTTGTATGTATGACAAATGAACGATTTTAAAGTGAATTTAGTTAAAATTAAAACACGAGAAATATTTGAAGTAATAGTAGGTTAAGTATCTCTGTGTCACGTGGTTTTCTTTGTTTACCTTTAGTTAATTACCTAAACAGATGGACTATAGGAGTATTTGCAAAATATTTACAATGGACTCCGATCCCTAACACTAGAAAGACGGAAAAAATCATCTACCTACAAAGACGGGGAGCGGTCAAATGACTGCTCCAAGTTTTTTTTTATATTTAAGTGCTACAAATGATAATCATAGTATTAAACATGATATAATTTACGATTAACTAAATAATTTATATTAACATGCATAACAAATTAACATAACATCACGCTTTTTATCCCCGAACAGGCAGAGGTGCACACAGAAGTAACATCCACTTTTCACTACTTATATTATGAGTCCCATGTTATAGGGGCCTATTGCCATACACCGGGCACTATTCCAGCCGGCAGTCGGTATTTATATCTTAACAATAAAAGTAAATAATTTATATCTTAACATTTTATTAAACCATACACAAAAAGAACAATCATGAAAACAAAAAGTACACACACAATTAAACTATTTAATAAGAGAAAACACAAGTCATTAATGGGTATATTATTATGTCTTATCTTTAATTTGTCAACCGGTTGACTTCATAACCCTTAACTAATTGAATAATGAGACAACATTCAAAATGAAACGGTTAAATTATTCCACAGCCTATTTAGGATATTCAAGAGCTTCAAAACAATGCAAAGAGATCCGCCATTTTAAGTAACATTTCGCCGGCGGAATCGTGAGCGCCGATTGTTTAATGTACCGTGTATACTTTAGTCGGGCTCATAATCAGACCAGTCAGCTGTGTTCTAAATAGATTCGCGTTATCGAAGTTTAATGTTAAAACAATGAGCTTAGAATATTATGTGGAGTTACCTCTTAAGTAGTGTTCTTTAAAAAGTTCCTGGCCAAAATGACGTCATATTTTTAGTATAATCATCATAATATTCAATCGAAAAAATAATAATTAAAATGTAAACGTGCTAGAGTATAATACATTTAACCTTACATTACTAAGTGTGGGAGAGCCATGCTTGGTACGAGTGGGCTAGCTCGACCGGAGTGATACCACGGCCTCACAGAAAACTGATGTGAAGCAACGCTTGCGTTGTGTTTCGTCATATGAGTGAGGTTAGGTTAGAGGTTGAGGCCCAAATAGCCCCCCTCCCTTCCTAAATCTCTCCAATCCATGAAACCCCAAAAATCCCCAAAAGGCCGGTAATGCACTAAGCATCCACGTGTCCAAGGAAGACGCCGATTGCTTACCATCAGGTGATCCGTCTGCTCGTTTACCGGCTTATCCCATAAAAGCACTAAGCAGTAAAAAACAATATTTTGCTAAAACAGAAAATTACCGTCAGACCCGACTATTACACTAACCACACTTAATAATGTATTAAACTGTTTCACTTTAAAAGGTGGCCTTTTAAAAAAAAACCGATATTTAATCCCATCCGTTTTTGCAATATTCTAATCTAGATAATATTAACAAAAAATTGCGGGGTACTTCCGTGAAAATACTGAAAAAACCTAGATAGTATTGGCATTGATTCAATTCTGTGCCTTACTTTAAAAAAATCAGACAAATATTTAGATTTGTAATTGAATCTACTGCTTAATTGCTCACATTACAACAACTAATATTGTCTACAAGACTCCGATCTGAGAAATTAGGTACCTTCCATTTACTATTAGTTACTGTTAGGAAGTACATTGTTACTGTCAATTGCCTTTGATATGGTGTTCTGGCCGTACGTAATCACTTGATGATAGACCAAAGCATTCATAGAATTGAGGCAGTCATGCAACTGCATGTAATGGTATGTGGATTGTGGCTTGACTTAGTATTGTCCATTTGTGCTCTGTTGTGTGTTTTGGATATTTTTAGTGTCAGTGTTCAAAGAAAGAATTGGGATGATGACAGGGTATTAAAATTAAAAATGTAATTAGTCCGTAAGTTAGATAATGAAAAAATAATAGACACGTATTTTTTATTTTGTCGTAAAATTAAAAAATACTTAGATAAAACAAATCAAAGTTTAGGAGTGGGGGCTAAAACGCCATTTCTACGTATAAAATGTACATAGAAGTGACGTCACGCGACATTTCAAATCAATATATCGTCGAAAGTATTCGTTTCTGTAAGAAAATAAAAAATACGTGTCCAATGATTTAAAACAATCTACCTGATGGACATTAAAATAAAAATTAGGCATCTACCCTATTGGGATGTTTTGTTGTGCATCTGTTTTGGTTGGCTATCGGTAAGCGGTTATCGGATTTGTTATATTTTTGTTTTAAAAAAACCTCCTACCCATCTCCACTGTAAAGAGTATAAGTTTGTACTTATATCTTGTGATGTTGAAGCTATGCAATCCAAATCTTCTTGCATTTTTATTTTTCATTTCATTTCAGTAGTTTTACTTAATATCAGAAGTTTTTTACTGTTTAAATTCATTTATTTTTAAAAGATTATAAATTACTTGTACAGAAATAAATATTTAAACTAATTTTACATTTGTTGCTTTTTCCAGGAGCAACAACAGGTCGTTATGTAATAGCGGTAATAATTTTAGAATTTTTCACATGCGTCATTATGCTACCGCCATGCGTTGCATTGATGCAGCCTTCCGTGAGGTTGTCGTTAATAGTTTATTGCCAAAATCAAACTATCAAAGTCTTCCATCTGCCATCATCAAGTTTATTAAACAGTAGAATATAAAAATAAATAAATAACATTCCGTCTTTTATTACCGAAGGGGTAGGCAGAAGTGCACATATACGGTACTTAATGCCACTGCACAAATGTTATGGGCTTGTGGCACCGACTTCTTACCCATCGGTGGGTGATTGGTAACCTATAAGTACGTATGACTAATAATAGTTATTTTTGCTGCTTGCTTTTGCTTGTTTTTAGGCTTTGGTTTTCGAAATCGGTTTTTTAAACGCAGTTTTCGATTTTATTGACTATTTATATTATGTCTATTACACACAATTATGTGCACAATTCCGAACTCTGTGCTACTACTGAAAATTTTTCTTTTTTTGAAGCCCAGTAATACTTTTGCCCAACTCAGGAATCGAACCCGCGAACACTGGGTCAATGAGGCATTTAATAAACTGTCATCATCATCATCATCAACAGCCGGAAGACGTCCACTGCTGGACAAAGGCCTCCCCCTTAGCCCTCCACGTCGAACGACAACGATAAACTGTCATAACCACAAAAATCTAAAGCAATTAGCGACTTATGGGAAAACCTTTTACTCAATACAATAAACCACTATCAGCGTTAACAGCTCCAACATCATTGGCATTACAAATGTGGGCGACTTTACTTTCCCAGTTAGAAAACTTACCTAACTGGAAGTTTGAGTGCTGTTAGCGGGACTTTAAATATCGAAGTAGAACTAATTCTTGGAGTGTTCACTGGTACTTCTTGTTACCTGTAAGTAATATGAAAGGTGTTACTTAGAACTTGGTGATTTATTGAAAACTATTTGTTCTAGGTTCTCACTTTGCTTGAGTGTTGCATGTAACTGGTTCTAGATTAATCCAGGAGGTTGTAAGGTTTATTGATCTTAATCATATTTTCAAACGACGAGATTCTCGTTTTCTTTGAATGTTTGTATGTATGTATGTATGTATGTATGTTATCTCGCAATTGGCCCAACTGATTTTTATGTTATTTTCAGAAATATGTTTATACTTAGGGGAAGACTATAACGAAGATATACTAAAGTATATTAATTTACATACTTAAAAAAAAACCCTCTTCTTTTGAAGTCAAGAAGTGGAAATGGAAAAGTCCATTTTTTTTAAAATGGACTTTAATGGGTATTAAAGTCCATTTTTTAAACGTTGTTTATAAAATAATTATTATTATATTAAAAATAAAACCGTTTGTTTTACTTAACTTGCCCCGATTGTTTGTTAGGCTCTTTAGTAATTACAAGTTTACTCTTTTCTTGATGACAGATCGATATGATATTTGGTACACACTTGTAATCTCGATAACTATGCAATATATCAAATTTTATATTACCTATGTATCTAATTTTGTCCACACCTACCTTCATTATGGATATCTAACGTATGTAAAGACTACATAAAAGCTCATTAAAACCGTTTGACATAAAAATATTTCTTATGTATTACTTGTTTTATTTTTATTGTTTTGTAAGCGAATAAGATTAGGGGAGTCCTAAGTAGACGACGAAAACGATGCGTGAAGCCACAAACTTGTGATGCACTTCATCCATGATTCGAGAAATGATGATCAAAAATTACATTGGACAGTCGGTATACTATCGCATCTCTTATCATTATCACTGTATATCACTTATTTGACCATCGTAATTATATATGACCCTTAAGCAGGACATCCTGTTAGATAACTGACGAAATATGAGAAATAATAATATTTTCTGTTGATATTTGTAGATTGTTTTATTAATACACCCTGCCTACAACTTAAGGGTGTAACAAGTTTAGTAATGTCGTGTTACCAATTGAAATATTTCTTTATTTATATCTTTTGTGAGATATACTTAATTATTTTCTATATTTTCCGCTTACTCACGTACCTAACTGTCGCCACGTCGTGTGTTGCTCTTGAATACGGGCCTCTAGCATGGCTTGAAACTAGTCGAGTTACTCGTTAAATAGTTACGTGTAACTCAAAACCATAATAATTAATTTCTTTATTAAGACCTTTAAGTACAGAAAATGGATTTTTTTTTTTCATTTTATGGCATAGGCCGTTAAACGAGCAGACGGATCACCTGATGGTAAGCAATCGGCGTCGCCCATGGACACCTGGAACACTAGAAACATTACAAGTGCGTTACAGGCCTATTGAGGATTGTGGGGGATTCGGGGATTGGGGAGATTAGGGAAGGGGGGAGGGTAGCTGGGCCTCCGGTAACCTCACTCACACGACGAAACACAACGCAAACGTTGCTTCACGTCGGTTTTCTGTGAGAATATAATGGTGTAAACATTTTCAATTCTATGTTGACCTTAGAAATAGTAGCAGCTCTTGCGACGACTCTACCGACAATAGCAATTATTACCCAATATGATATATGACATAGTTACCGTTTGTAAAGCTAGTACCGAAAATATTATGTTAAATGTGCAGTGATTATTTCGTAGGTCAAGTTACAAATATTAGTTATTTTCTATTTTATTTTAGTACATAAATATTTACAAGTTATAAAGTATTACTGGATTTTTTAAAACTTTAATAGTGGCATGTAGTCTGGAAATGTGCCCTGTATATGGCAATAGGCTCACCCCCTATTACATGGGACTCATAACATAAATAGTGAAAAGTGGGTGTTACATTGTATAGTGGTACCCCTTCGGGAATAAAAGACGTGATATTATGTTAAGTTACAAATATAAATTCAATTCTTGAGTTTCTCTACCTAAAACCGGGTATTTTAATCTTGATAACTTACTCTGGAAGTAAGTACTAAAGGGAGTACATGCCTTAAAGGACTATTCGGCAATGTACATACTTTTAGTTAATATCGAGTAATAATATATCGCGTGACAAGTATATTTATAACGTATTATGAGATTCAGATCTTCTACTCTTTTGGAAAATAAAAAGACGAGATAGCAATATCATGTCAAACACAACACATCCACTATTAAACTAAATCTAATTATATCTAAGCTATCTGCTTCGAGCAATTCCTTACGATCTTCATGAGGACACCTATCCAAACCCACACTGCGTTTCCGAATACATAGCCTACTTTCAAGATCCTCTTTGGTCGACGCCTTCGAATCGGCATGCTACAGAACATAACAAAATACATCGTTGCCCTCTTAGGCTGCGTTTCCACCATAGCTGTACTGCCTGATGAGAGGTAAATGAAGCAATTTTAATGGTTCTTTACAAACACATCTGTCGCTACTCATCTTGCACATCTCCAGTGGGTGCGCAGCTTTATGCTCTACAATCGTCAGACGACCGATTACTATAACAATTGCGCCTGAGTGTGACATTTCCTTTTTAATAGTTCATTGTGCGGTTGATCGATGATAAATGATATTATAAAATCATGTAGCCACATGGAGTGAGGAATCACTGGGGAGTATAATGTACCTATTATTGAATAATTGATTCAATTACCAGGTCAAAAATAATCCAAATGTAAAACATAATTTTTTTCACAAAAGAGTAACGAATAGAGTTTCTTGCTCGTTCGGTTTTTTTCTTCATTAAAATCTATATTTTGGAACGAGCACCTAACTTCACTGACGGAGAGACTTATTTTTTTATATTTGCTAACGTTTCAAATGCACCAAATTATGATTTAATTAAAATGGCTTTTGAGTTTAAGTTTGGTCACTTATAATGCAGTAATACCTCATCATCATCATCATAGCAGCTTCAGGACATCCACTACTGTACAATGACTTTCAGATAGGCCGCCATCGCTATAATAATGTCATACGCTATCTAAATTTGTTTTCTTTATGTAAAGCTATTAATTTCTTATTGCATTGAACCATACAAGTGAATCATACAAGAACGGTAAGTGTACGTGGGAATTGCACAACCTTATTCCCCTTAGTCCATTTCACCACCGTATCACCAGACGAACGGCGGGGCGCCACCCTTATATGGTGGACATGCCACCCATTCGCACGAAGCGTTTCGCGTCAAGTTTCCTCATGCGAACCGCTAAGGAATGGAATTTCTTGCCAGAGTCTGTGTTTCCCGTCAAATACGACTTGAGTGTCTTCAAGTCCCGAGTGAACAGGTCGCTCATAGGTAGGCGTGCTCCACCAGGTTTAACCACCATCTAGCCAGCTTACCACCAGGCGAGATGGTGGTTAAACGTCGACCTAATAAGTATAAAAAAAAACATATATATTTTTTTAGCCTAGGTAATTACCCAATACTACCAGCTAAACTTAATATAATATAGTAGGTATCTCCAAAAAAGACATAGACCTATGAGACAACTATATAAGTAAAAATAGTTCAAGACCAGTTGTATTTGTATTGACGACCCTGAACAAGTTGCGAGTGTTTGTAGATAGTAAGCACTACATCGTCGATCAGTGTTACACTGTCACTCGTAACGTACATACACGCATATTTGTATATATAGATTACGTTTTTAATCGTTTAAAAATATTCATATCTTAAAGATAACGCGATCCGGCCGGTTCGCGTGTTGATGTTCAAAACAGTTTGTGAAGGACAGCTGATGTTTAGTGGAATTTCAATTTTTTAATTATTAAATTAGTGTTGGATAAAATACACCTTATTGTCATTGTATTTGGGTGTCAGTGTGTTAATCAAAAGGAGTAAATGTAAGTTTCCCATTTGTTAATTTCTTTTTGATTATCTTTCGGCTGGCTGACAGACTGAAAGACTATTATTTATTTTATATTTGTTGACATTTCAAAAAGTACCAAATTATGATTGAATTGAAATAAATGCTTATACTTTGACTTTGACTTTGAGGAGACGTATTTATTTGGAATAGTTAGGAATATGTTCAGTGATATTAGTACGTAAATACAGAACATCACGCCCGGCAGAAGTACTGAGCCGACCAGTAATGGTCACAAAAGATATGGCATCGTTAAAAAACATACAGTTTAGTATATAGTACAATACAAATACAAACAATAGCTACTGTCTCTGATTTTAAAATCAATTTAATGTAAATACTTTTACTTGACTATAGGACTTTATCCACTTATTTTGGAATAAATATATCAACTCATTTTTTGTAAATATGTATGTTGTATAATAATTGATTATTAAAGTCCGAGTATTATAGGCTTATAATATTATTATTGTAATCAATTGTTATCGTTAATCAGAGAAAAAATGCGTTTCACAACAACTCAACAATCGTTAGCTTGTTATTTTTCGTAATTAGATATATACCTAATTACGAAAAATAACTTTTATTATAATAAAGGTATACGAAAATAATACTTACTTTTCTTACATTATTAGTAATTTGTTTTGCTAAATGAATTATTCTTATTCTTAATTACATTATAAGCCATAATAAAATAACACATGATTTGATATCAGACACCTCACAAAATTCCAGTCTTCGTGTTATTAAAATTCAATTTTATTTTATTTGAATAAAATTATAATAATATACATTCCTTAAGAATTTTATTATCTACTAGCTGTGCCCGCGACTTCGTTCGCGTGGAATAGTGACTATGAGCAGCGTTTTTTTTTAAATAACTTATTTTTATTTTGGATCATAATCACAGTCATTTTGTATGTATAAGCATAGAATAGTGTTCGACGTGATTCTTTAATTTGACATAACTTTTTTATTTATGAACCGATTGACATGAAACAAACACTAAAGTATAACTGAAGCATACCACAATATATTCGTGAAAACCGCATCCAACTCGGATCAGCCGTTTCTGAGATTAGCGTGAACAGACAAACAGACAAAAAAAAAGTTAATTACATTTTTGGGTTCGACATCAACATAACAATAACCCCTGCTATTTTTTTTATTTTTATATTCAATGTACAGACATCACTTTTCTACAATTTTATTATTGTATAGATAGAAGATAGATAGATAGATAGAAGATAGAAGATAGATAGATAGATAGAAGAAGATAGATAGAAGATATAGATAGATTGGTTACAAGTGTTATAACCGACATGAGATCCTGTCTAAATAAGTACCTGGTAGCAAGTTTTCGAGTTAACATAACATAAACATAACATCACGCCTTTTATCCCCGAAGGGGTAGGCAGAGGTGCACATAATACCACTGTACAATGTAACACCCACGTTTCACTATTTATGTTATGAGTCCCATGCAATAGGGAATAGCCTTATGCCATATACCGGGCATAATTCCACTATCCGTGCTACTATTGTCGAATTTTTAAAAAACCCAGTAATACTTTGCCCGACCCGGGAATCGAACCCGAGACCCCTTGCCCGGTAGTCGCACTTGCAACCACTCGGACAACGAGGCAGTCAGTTTTCGAGTTAGGCAAAGATATATTCCAAACTGGCCACTCCTACGTTGTTTCAACCGATCTGATCGGCTCATATTGGTTGTAGCATGATGTTGTGTACCCTTCGTCAACAAATTGACTATCGAACAAAAATCAAATCGAACCAATACTTAGTTCTAGATGTTAGCGCATAATATAAAGAAACAAGCCAACTCTTCAGTTTTATGTAATAAAAGAAAAAAACCAAACTATAACATTTACTGACTGTCTCATTTACCGAGTGATTGCAAGTACGACTGCCGACAAAGGGTCTCGGGTTCGATTCCCGCGTCAAGCAAAGTATTACCGGTTTTTTTTTTAAATTGTATTAGCACGGAGTCTAAAAGTTCACCCCCTATTACATGGGACTCTTAGCATAAATAGTGAAAAGTGAGTGTTACATTGTACAGAGGCATTAAGTGCCGTAATGTGCACCTCTGCCTACGCCTTCGGGGATAAACGGCGTGATGTTATGATGATGATGATGATATAATTATGTACTACTGCGAGCTGGTGCTGAAAATCAGCGCCGTGGACTCGAGCGTCCGTGCCCGGGCCACAATATTAGGCCTTTGCGCTGCGACGCAGGACATAATTATACACCTACGGTACCCCTATTCGGAGCACAAGTAACACTGCTCGAAGCTCACATACGTACACAGTACAGTATGTGACTGCCTCGTTGGCCGAGTAGTCGTAAGTGCGACTGCCGGGCAAGGGGTCTCAGGTTCGATTCCCGGGTCGAGCAAAGTATTACTGGGTTTTTAAATATTTTCAGTAGTAGCACGGAGTCTGGAATTGTGCCCGGTATATGGCAATAGGCTCATCCCCTATTACATGGGACTTATAACATAAATAGTGAAAAGTTGTTGTTACATTGTACAGTGGTATAATGTCCTCCTCTGCTTACCCTTTCGGGGATAAAAGGCGTGATGTTATGTTATGTTATGTTACAGTATATGCCTCTGTTCTAAATTTCATGCCGATACCTTCAACTATTTTGGCGTGATTAGTACACAAACTTACTCACAAAGTTTAAAACAAAAATAAATTTTATTTATTCATTTACTGGCTTCTATCTGCGACTTCGTATCCAGAATCCCGCTTTCTCCCGTTCCCGTAGGATTTTCAAGATTTTTGCTGTCTTAAGAACCTTCTCCTAATAATATAACAAATACAACAAAAAAAGAATTAGTGAAATCGGTCCAGCCATTCACGTGTGATGCCGTGACCAAGGGAAAAAGGGATTTATTTTTATTATGTATATAGATTATTAAATGTGTTTACATATTACAGAGTAACCATGGCAGCAAGGAATTTATCAAGAACAGCCCAAAGGCTGTTAACATCAAGAAGTATTTTGAGTAGCAGAAAATATGGTAGTGTATGGACAGCTGACAATATTGTCAAATCACCTCATAGAGATATAGAAATACCAAACAGACTAGTTACTGAACATATTTGGGAGGCTGTGGAACGATGGCCGGATAAAACTGCACTTGTAAGTATTTTTATTTGTATGAAAGTTTAAGGTTCAGATTACAAAAAACCAGTCAATTATTTAAGTGATAATATTTAGGAAACAGGGAGTAAAGTTACCTAAGATCGGAAAAGGAGGATAGTCCGACCTGACGAGGTTTTCACACCTAGTGGGCTTTCTGCCCAACAGTTATTGTTTAGGATTGTCTATCCGTGTTAATTCGCTCGTGAACTGCACGTGCGTGATTTTTATGACGTCATTCGTTGAAATTTTTCATTGATAGTCTATGTGCGGGAGCTATCATCTGACATGTGTCACGTGTCACGACAATGTTTTGAAAAAGTATGTGGGTAAAGAATGAGTAACATCTGAATATATTATGTAGTTTTACATCTGAATTATAGTGATAATGAATTTATACGATTGCCGTAAAAGATCATGTCATAATTCAAATGAGATAAAACTCCAAATAATAATATTATACTCGATAATTCTTTAACGTAATATGTTTAACAACACTATTTGAAAAGATACAGTCAACTTACCCATGGTATTCATAAACTTGACAGCAACTTTCATAATAAAAGGAACAAGTTATTCGTTCATACATACATACATACATACATACATATACAAAGTTTGCTCCAAACAATTTTCCGTTGATAAAACCATTGTGTTATGGTACGTTATTAAATGTTCATAAAACGTAAATTGGTCCTTCAAATGGGCGATATGCGGTAAAGTTATTCATAGTAATAATAGTGGTATTATAGTGACATTGAGTTGACCATGACAAGTAATTACATCCAAAATTACTGTAGAGTTGTATCTCATAGATATGTAATTGCTGTATTGTATTAAGTGTGGAAGAGCCATGCTTCGACACGAATGGGCCGGCTCGACCGGAGTGATACCACGGCCTCACAGAAAACCGACGTGAAACAACGCTTGCGTTATATTTCGTCGTATGAGTGATGTTACCGGAGTCCCTATTACCCCCTGCCCTATCTCGTTAATCCCTGAATCTCCAACAATCCTCAAATTCGTAATCCCCGAAAGACCGATAACGCACTTGTAACGCCTGTGGTGTTTCGGGCGTCCATAGATGGCGCCGATTGCTTAGCATCAAGTGATCCATTTGCTAGTTTACCGGCTTACCCAATAAAAAAAATTTTGGTAGGTAGTAAATCTAAGTAGCTTCTACACACTGTTCAGTATATTTTCTTAAGATGACAGGAGACCTTTGTTAAACGTTACATGCGAATGTTTAAATGTTTATTTTATACATTATAATTATACTACACTGCGTGTTTTCTGTAATTACCTACAATAATAATTCATAATACTCACCTCGTTTAACATGTTACATAATATTATGCTACTTTTATGTAGCAACCTGATCTCTCTGACAATACATTATAATGTAATGACATTACTTATCAAAACGTTACTTATCTTTAACAACGCCAATTCTAGAATGCAGCATAACGCATAATGAGTTTTAATCTCACTCTGATAGGAACCAATTTCAGGTGTGTGCAACAACAAACAGATCATACACGTTCCATGACTTGTACAAATACTCGAGGAATTTTGCCGCAAAATTGCGGACACAGATAAAAATAAGAGATGGGGATACCGTGTTTTTGATGATGTCGAATTATCCTGAGTATGCCATCGCTTTACTAGGAGCATTGGAAGCCGGAGCTGAAGTCACCACTGCCAACCCTATTTATACTCCATGTAAGTTCAAAATACAAAATACAAGGCAACGAATCCTATTTAATGACATTTGCTGGACTCATTGCAAAGCTGAACAATGGAAGAAAATTGTGTAGATATCTGTCTGATTGTCAATCTTCTAATCCAATATCTAATTTGTGAACCCAGTCCTCATATTTCGACAAGCATTGATAATAATATATTATTATCTAGGTACTTGATTCATTAGGCCGCTATAGATCTGCTAATCCTACATTATATCAACAATATGTGTCATTGACGCATAAAGATAAATCTTATATACATTGGTGATGAATATTAATAAGAATATTTTATTATAGATGAAGTGGAACGTCAAATAAAGCAAGCAGATCCAAAAGTCTTGTTAGGAGTTCCAGAGACTGTGCCAGTTTTAAAGGAAGCTTTGAGATTAACAAAGAGAGATATACCGATTATTGTTTTGAAAAACCCTGATGGTGCTCTTCCAGATAATACTATTTCATTCCAGGAATGGTTTTTAGCTGGCAACGTTGATCATAGTGTACTTAAAGATGTTTCTAGGACGCCTGAAGATGTTGCATTGTTACCATATTCTAGTGGTACAACTGGTCTTCCAAAAGGCGTTGAACTGAGCAATAGAAATCTCGTTGCCAATTTCGTACAACAAGACGTTGACACTATGCGTGTCCATCAAGAAACAACTAGTAAGTCTAATCATAAGTTATTATGATAAAAAGATTATAATAATTACAATTATAAAAAAAGAAAGAAAAATAAATTACAATTTGCAATGAGTTTATTGAATGACGAAGCTGAGATGTAATGCATGATAATATTGGGTTTTTAAAGGTCGATAAATATTCACTATCAGTTATGTAACCATCTTATGTTTATGTTTTTGATGTGTTATCTATCAAGTCACTATTATGATTTTTATTGTCACCTTATGATTTTAATTTTCATTCCAGAGTCTCATCAGGATGTAACTTTAGGACTGTTACCCTTTTACCATAGTTATGGTCTTTCAGTGATTTTATTGCATAAATTGTCAGCGGGATTGAAAAATGTGACACTAACTAAGTTCCAGCCAAATACTTTCATTGATACGATGAAAAACCACAAAATAAATTTGTTATGTGCAGCCCCTCCCTTAGGTAAGTTTATTTGTCACTTTGAGACTCTACACTATGATATCGAATAAAAATTACCTTTTTTGAACACGAACTACATGTACTTTTTATTTTGTTATTACTGTTACGTGTTATACATATATAAAATTCACATCTTCTGACTTAGATTTTTGTAAAAAATCATAAATATTTAATTTCAAGGTAGTGTAATGTTGTATTAATTTATTCAGTCCATCGTTTTAGTAGTGTCATCTACTTGTTATCCTAACTAGTCGACTCGTTTATTTAGTTCACTTAATTTGACTTTATTTTCAGTATTATTTCTTGGTTCACATCCTGGGGTAACAGCGGATCATTTAACATCACTAAAGACTATAACTTGCGGAGCTGCACCACTACCAAGAACGGACGTCACAAGAATTTTAGACAAAGTCAAGGTGATTTTTTTAGTATTATTTACTTACATATTATCATTATGGAAACTATAGTAGAACTTTAACTTCCCACTCTGTGTAAATAGTTCTTATTACTGCCTAATGTAGAGGTATTATTAAAACTTAATTTTATTCATTTAAACGTACAGCAGGACCTCGTAACCAAACAAATTCGAACATAATGTCATAATAGTATTTTAAAACTGGCAGACGTTCATTATTGTTATGGCCTATGTTCAGCATTTATCTTATGGCTGATAATAATAATAACTAAATAATTTGACAATGATAATGATAACCCTTTATATACAGTGGCCAGCCACATCAACCAATACTCCAATGTATCAATATTTATCATTAGACTAGCTTATGCCCGCGACTTCTTACGCGCAATCCCGTTCCCGTTCCTCAATAAGGTACTTTGACACATAAACTCCTGTTCAGTTAACGTAAATAATATTTGTAAAGGTTCCTTCCACCTTCATCGTTTTGTTTAATCATGGAAAATGACTCTCGACCTCAACTCAACGTACTTATTTAACCACGTTCAAGTTGAAGTGTTGCTTCAAACAATTACTTTCCAATTCTCGTTATTTACGAACAATAGAATTTTTCAAATAAAATCAATATTGATTTTAGTGAAATTGCCAGTACTTATAATGGCAAAGTAAAGCAAAAACTGGTCTGAGATGTTGGGATGGGATATCTCCCACACACACCAAGCTTCCATGTGCGTACTGCTGAAGAATAGAATTCTTTGTCAGAATCTGTATTTCCTGAAGAGTATGGGTCTCAAACTGTATCTAGACTAGGGCATTATATTTTCCTCTTTTGTAATGATCGTTATATTTGTTTAACCTGTTAAGTAAGAACTATTTACTAATTTATTTAACTTGACAATAAAATGTTCGCCTTTTTCCTCAAGTATTTATAGAATTCGAAACACAACCAATGAAAATGAGCACTAAATATACAAGTCTACCCGTTCCTCAGGGAGTTAAACCGTGATGTTATTACTTTTACAAACCAACTGACCCGTAAAATCCAACAACTTTGAATATTAAGCCTCCATTAATATAAACAGCTTTAGCAAATAATTCAAAAATAAAAATAAAGGAATCCTCACGGAGCCATTCTCCTGAAGATAAATGGTGAAAACAAAAATAATCCAAAGTTGTTTTGCATAATAAAATTAGTTGAAACTTAGCAACATTAATATCCTTCAAATTCCTTTTTTGTTGATTGAGTTTTATTTTCTCCTGAATGCTTTATTTTTTATATTAACATGAAAATGTTATATATTTAATATTCAGAGGTTTTTTTATTAGGCCGCGTTATTTACAGCTTTATTCGGATACCCGTTTGGGGTAGACACAAACATTTAAAATATTTCATGATTGAAAAACTGGCTTTTGCCGGAGGCTTTAATTTTCATTTTTTTCGTGGATTCAACACATTCTCTATATCCTCTTCGAAGTTTATTTTAATAAAAACTCCTACATTTTTTAAACGGTTGAATAAGCTATAGTTATATCTTTAGTATATATCTACGATTTACATAACTGCATTTAGTTTAAAATTTATATATTTTTACTTTATAACTGCTATATATTTATTTATTTATAATTTATAGTACACCACATTTTGTACACATTTTGTCTACTTATTTAGCATTCTATGCTATGTACATTTTGTTGTTCGTCTATGTAACTAATCTACAAATACACTTTAAAACATTTTTATGCCGCAAAAGCCTTGTAGAATCCTAGAAGATAATGTCTCAATGTATATACCGGGCATATTTCTAGACTATGTGCTACGATTGAGATTTTTTAAAACCCAGTAATACTTTGCCCGGACCGAGAATCGATCCCGAGACTCCTAGCCCGGCAGTCGCACTTGCGAACACTCGGCCAACGAGGCAGTCAAATATTTTATCTATTTTAATCATTTTTATTCTTGGTTCATATATTTCCAGCATGAAATGGACTTCCTCCAATTATACGGTTTGACCGAAGTAGGACCCCTAGCTACATGCATGACTCCAGGCGATAAAGACTACTCAAAGGCTGGATGTGGCATATCTAACACCGAATTAAGGATCGTAGATCAAGATCAACGTGTGCTGGGACCAAATCAGGTAACGCACAATTATAAAACTCGACTTTAATTTATAGTGTTTAAGGTTTGTATTACTAAACAAATGATTTTGAATTAATAGGGCTTTCGAAATCATTTTTGTAGCCATATATTTTATTAAAAGCAGTAAAGTTATATCCGTCTATCCAAAAGATTGCATGCACTGATTGCATGAGAACAGTAAATGCTATCATTACAATATAATATTAATACGTATAGATTATAAAAAATGGCGCCATATTTACATTGCGCTACCTGCATATCTTAAACACTTAAAGCATAAAAATTTTAATCCTTAATGAAAATACTTAGTAATCCCTTGCCTTCCAACGAGAATATAAACTTTCCAACCAGAGACAATATAAAAATACTATCTACATCATAAAATGTTAATAATACTCAACAATCAAATAAAGTATCATACATACGTTGATAATTTTTGTCTTCAAATGGTTTTATTGTTTTTATCGACTAAAAATATTAGCTGATAATTATTTTGATTCCAATTATGCCTATTTTTATTGCTAAGAACTTTTTGAGTGTAGATAAAGGACAAAATTAAAAATCATTCGATTTGCATTTAAAATTACAATTATTATCGATAGTCACTATGAGCGATGATATCAAAGCATAAAATAAAAAAAATAATCACAAATCATTTTGACTATTACGTACAACTGCTAAAACTGGAAACCCAGAGCTCATTCATAAACATCTTTATCTAACATACTTAAACAATTTGTCAATTTCTTTATGAATATTATTATTTCAGTTGGGTGAACTCCATATTCGTGGTCCTCAAGTCATGAAAGGCTATAGAAATAACCCAGAAGCTACAAAGGCAGTTATTACAGAAGATGGTTGGTTCAAAACTGGCGATCTCGGAAGTCTTGATGAAAATGGGGCAGTCACTATTAGTGATCGACTGAAAGAACTTATTAAGGTATTATTAACAAATATTTATAAGAGGAGAAGTAAGACTACACGGTTGGTGCAGTGGCTGGGCAACCGGCTGCCATGCAACGTGTTGCGGGTTCGATTCCCGCACGGAACAAAGTGTTGTGTGATCCACAAATTGTAGTTTCGGGTCTGAGTGTTATTGTGTATGTGAACGTGTATGTTTGTAAACACACCCACGACACAGGAAAAAATCTTAATATGGGGCAATGTTTAAAAAAATAGGTATATTTTTATAATAACTAGGTATAGTCTCACAATATTATAAAAATATATTATTTATTATAGAAATATATCTACTAAATTAACTAAAAATTACGCGCACGTGGCTCATAAGACAGATTCTCACTGTGACTAGAAACTAAGTAGAGTAATAATATAATGAATGGATTTAGAGAATTAGGAGTCTAACTGTGTACCACCCTTGTGTATGAGGTCCTATATACATTAAGAAATTAATCGATATGGGATCGTTATTCACATACATTAATTATTATTTCAACTAGGAGAAGGTTTAAGTATATCAATTAACCAACTTCAAAAAAGAGGGGATTTGAATTCGGTTTTTTTAAACGTAGTTTATATAAAAAGTATTCTAAATTTGCTCAGATAAGTGTGAGCGATAAAAATTGGCAAAGTCTAACAATTTCTTACAGATAACAATTATTTATTGTTAATAATCGAACAACTAAAATTTTAGATAACGTCGGCTCTCTTTTTCCACTCCCACGTATTAAGGGAATGGCCGATTAGTTTCGACCTCGACCGGAGCCCTTAATGTTAATAATTGAATACAAGATGTCACTCAACCTATTAATGTTTTTTACAGGTAAAAGGATATCAGGTACCACCAGCAGAATTAGAAAATGTATTAAAAGAACATCCAGACGTACTTGATGCTGCAGTCCTTGGTATACCAGATTCAAGACTTGGGGAAGTTCCTAAAGCCTTTGTTGTGCTAAAAGATGGAGTTAAAGTAGAAGCCAATGAAGTGACGTCATTTGTTTCGGAGAGAGTAGCAGAGTATAAAAGAATAAGAGATGTCATCTTCTTAGATGCCTTACCAAAGAATCCTTCTGGAAAGATTTTGAAACGAGTTTTAAGGGAACAGTATTGTTAGATTTTTGTTAAGGTGCGTCTACATCTGGCGAATGCTCCGTGAATGCGGTGCGCCGCGATTCGCCCGCGAGCTGCGCGCGTGCTTGTAAAATGATTATTTATACGAACATTCTATGAGTTGAGCACCAAACCATAGCCGTGATGGCGTCGCGGCGCATTCGCCATATGTGGACGCACTATTAGGTTAAGTAATATTCGATGCATGAGAAAATATGTCAAAGATTTTGTAATAATTTTGTTATAACCTGATTTTGTATTATAATATAGGTACACTATTTTTTATATCTTCTTTATCTATTATTTTTTGTATTGTATCTTATAAGAGGTCTTCTTATACATATATCTCTATATATCGTTTTCCAATTTATTTCTCTACAGTTGCTTAAATTTTACGTAGGTACAGTCCTCTTTCTACGTAATGACATATGACTTTGATATAATATTAATTTATTCAATGAAGTATTTTTCATTAACAATAAACGTGACAATTCGTAAGTTTCTAAAGTATACAAGATGTAGTTTTGAAACTGTGGTATTTCTCGGGGGCATGTCACAGAAGTCATAAAGGTTCAATGTAAAAGAAAGTTTCGGGCCAATAGTTAAAAATACGGCTATAATAAATCGTTTAAGTTCGACAGTATTTCAGAATAAACGACAGCAATGTTTCTTATTCGAGTATTATGGAATTAGGAATAATATCAATCACAATTGAGTTTGTGTGTGTTAAGCCGCGTTACAAAACTAGTTACAAGACGGCGGCGTGTAGTTCGCACTTACGGATTTCCGTAATTTACAGAAAAATGAAAAATATTTAAGTACAATACAAACAGACTCAGAATCCATAGTTACCTCCTAGAAAATGACAAGGCTTTAAGCAACACCTTGTATATCAAACAAGAAATAACAACATCTGTGTTTTTTTTTTAAATCAACAAATAAAAGTGGTTTACGCCGCATTGCTTTAAAGTATTTTCAACAATCTGCATGGAAGGGTGAAAGGAAAACAAACATCATGGAAAAACATTTGCGAATTGGGAGGAAACCTTTCAAATATGTAAAATATTGTGCATTCTTTAAGCTCGTCCCTTTTTGTTTGATTAGTATAGAGGGAATACAATAAACCAGTTATTTCGGCTTCATTTAAAATCTGCAATGTTAATTATGAATAGAAACTAATATACACTATACATAACATAACATCACGCACAGAAGGTGCACACAGAAGTAACACCCACTTTTGACTATTCATGTTATGAGTCCTATGTAATAAGAGGTGAGCCTATTGCCATATACCGGGCACAATTGCAGACTCCGTGCTACTACTGAGATTTTTTTTGCAATACTTTACCTGACCCGGGAGAGGAACGCGAGACCCCTTGACCGGCAGTCTCACTTGCGACCACTCGGCCAACGTGGTTGTCCAAATTATAAATAAATAAAGTGTATATTTGTGTGTGTACAACCAGTAGTTGTTACATTATGTCTCTAACATCTAAGCACTTACATAATAATATTTTTTTAAATGTACAACATTTTAAGGTTTCACAACATGAATGAACCTAACGATGACACTTTTATTAGAAAGTATGTAGAGACAATAATAGGAATAAGAATTCTAATCTTACTAATATTATAAATACGAAAGTTTGTGTGTTTTTCTGTATGTTTGTTACCCAATTACGTCAAACGGCTGAAGGGATCGGCAGAGATAGATGTCGCGCAGCCTACTCATATATCGCCGCGACCGCGGACTCTGCTCGTGAGGAAGAACCCCTCTGTGGTTCGAAACTAGTAGAGCTTTTCTCAGTATATGCACGTGAGTAACCCGCGAGTTTTTATAATAACTATCGTGAGACATATCCGCTAGGTGGCGCTGCACCTCAGTGAACGCAAATTAAGTGTCCTATTATTAAATAATTTAAAAAAATACAAACAGTGTATAATAAGTGGCTAAAAGTTGTTGAATTTGTTAAACATTAACTAATAACTACGTGACAGTATTTTAGTAAATATCGTAAATAAACTGTGAAGATTTTTTGACTTTAAAACTTCCAAAGTTCAACTGACAAGGTAAAGGCAAAATTCGCAAACATTTACTTACTTATTGGACGACAATAATACAAAGACAATATAGTTAACCTGAACATTAATTAGAAAAACCCAGATGTGTTAAACTAAGTGATAGTAACATAAAGTAACTCAGTGATTCAAAAGTAAAAAAACGACCGGCAAATTGCAAATTGTAAAAAAAAAAATCTACTGACCGTCTATTTGTGTTCTATGCAAATTATTAATTGCATAATAGACTCGACTAATTTCAACAACTTTATTAATGAACCAGTGGCTGATTGCTTAAACATACTGTCTTACTCCACGGCCAGTACTGCGGAGGCTGGTTCAAACCCCAGTGACTACATTCACTTTTTGTGATTTTTATTATTTTTGTTGCATTGCTATTATTATTTTGACATTTTACAATGGATTTCGAAAGCAACAATGTCACTCACCGTAAACCGTGTAGATCAAGCTCTTTAACCGACTTAACTATTATGACAAATGAGAAGGCTATATTTGACTGTACTATGATGAGTATACCTGATAGCTTTCATGATAACAGCGCTGCTTTAAGTGATTTATCGGAACAAAATAAAATTCTTACAATGCAATTATTGAGTGCACATCAAGAGATAGATAATTTAAATACCGAAAACTTTAGACTAAAGACAGATTTACAAGAAATGATCAAAAAGGTTAATATGTACAAAACTATATGCTCAACGCCTACAAAAAAAAATATAGCACCATTACACAAATCAACCACTTCACATCACAAAACTAAAACATGTAGTGTAACATTGAACGATACTTCAAATGAATCATTTCGTGATTGCTCTAATACTGTTACTGCAACGGTCAGTAAGGAAACGCAAACTTATGAAACCTGTAATCCACAGTTACATAATTTGAGCAAACGATCCTTCAATGACGACAAAAAAAATCGTGGAGTAGAAATTGCAAACAACAAGCAGTTACAGAAACCTAAACAGAAAAATAAAATGTGTGTTTTAACAGTAAGAGAATTAGAGGATCCTTATTTGCACTGGAAGATGTGTTCTCGGAATGTTTTGATTATTGCCATTATTTAATACCAAACAGTACAACCGAAGAGTTAATGAGCAATCTTACACAAAAACTTAAGAGCTTTAATTTAAATGACTACTGTTTACTTTTTATTAGTGAACGTGACATAAAAAAAAATGACTATGGAAAAGTAATACGGAGTATACGAGAATCATTGCAAGTAATTACGCACACTAACATAATTATATGTTCTCCTACATACATAGCAGGAGCACCTATGTATAACTTCAAGGTAGATATGTTTAATAATCTCCTGTATCAAAGCATACAAAAATATAAATACGCATACTTTTATGACAGCAACCATAACCTATCACATGAAATGTTGTCCTACACAACGGGCAAAATTAATAGCTACGGGATAAGATGCATATATAAACAAATTATGGATAACATACTGATCGACATTAACCTATTCGGTGGAATGAGTGCAGAATTATGTGGTAGTGGGGAGAGTTGCAATGCTACCGATTCTCATACAAACAAAGAACCGACTAACTTTTTTCGTCACTAATAATCTTTATATTACACCAAAATATTGCTGGAATAATAAACAAATCGGATGCTTTGTCAATATGTCTTGAAGAACTAATTGATAGGAAGATACAAATAGATATATTATGTATTACGGAACACTTCATGGAGGCCGGTTATGAAAACTGTCTTGTTATGCCTAACTATTCTCTAGCTGCAATTTATAGTAGAAGCAAGAGCAAACGAGGAGGAGCCTGCATACTGGTGAAAAACGGTCTTCAGTGGAAGGAGTTACCGGAAATAAAAAAACTTACTGTTTCGGGTCAATGTGAATGCTGTGCTATAGAACTTATTGGTTATGAGTTTGTTATTGTTTGTGTATACAGGGTACCTAAAGTAGAAAACCTAAATATATTCTTTTCAAAGTTGGAAATTATGTTACAATTGTTAAATAAGAAACACTATAAAAATGTTGTAATAGCAGGAGATTTTAATATTGACGTTCTCAAACAAAACAATGTAACGGTAGATTTTGAGAGTATATTGCTAAGTTACAATATGAAATTGGCTATAAGAGAACCTACTAGAATAGTAAGCAAAACATGTATCGACAACTTTGCTCATAATTTTACAAAATCGTGTAAGACGGAAGTGTTGGAGTTTGCTTTGTCAGATCATACTGCACAGCTAATAAACATTCCTATTAAAGTACCTGTCAAAAATTATGGAAGAAACGTATTCGTGATTTCGCTAGTGAAAATGTCCTGAAATTCAAAGAGTGTATTGATGGTTTGTCTTTTTCTGATATGTATTGCGAGTGTGATGCAAATAAGGCATATAATTGCTTTGTAGATAGCTTTAAGTTATATTATGACCTCTGCTTTCCTTATAAAACTATTGTTATACGTGTTGATGGGAAACCAAAATGGATATCTCGTGGGTTAAAGAAATGTAGTGCAAAGAAAAAACATTTACTTTGGAAGTTTAGATTTAAACCTACCGTCAGCAATAAAACCATATACATGACTTACTCAAAATTGTTTAAAAAGATTATTAAATTAACACAACTTGCTCAAAATAATTATAAAATTAAAACCTCATTCAACAAACCCAAAACTATGTGGAACTTCATAAACAGGTCAAAGACTAATATTCCTCGCGACTCAATTAATAGAATTAGTGATTAAACGAACTTACCTAAGTGATGTTCTATCACAATTATACGAGTTGCTTCGTCCGAAGAGATTAGGTAATAATTTGTAGTAACGCATATCGTGTCGCCTTTCATCCACTAAGTTAAAAGCAAAAAAAAAAAAAATTTTGAGGGTACTCGCAACACTGCTAGGAACATTGGTTGGCCGGCTACTCATTTAGTTGAAAGTCTGGAGCTCAAATCGAATTTAATATTTCACTAATGGGGGTATATACTTACTTTTAACTAGGGAGGGAGGGACCTAATCTCTTCGGACGAAGCAACTCGTATAATTGTGATAGAACATCACTTAGGTAAGTTCG